GCTCGCGCTCTCGCCGCCCCGCCCTCTCCCGCTACACCCGCCGCTCGGCGTTGAAGGTCGCCGGGGAACGCGAGTCCCACCAAAGCGCCTGCGGGAGGAGTGGGCGGGACCTGCCCGGCGTCTCCCCTCCGGCTGGGCCTCTGCCTTCAGAACTCTCCCCGCCCCCGTTTTCCCTTCATTACGTTTTATCTTCCCGAAGGATGAAAGCCTAGGAGTGAGGGCAGACACCCTTCCTCCCGGGTCTCCCCGACTCGCCGCCAGCGCTCCCCTGGAGGGGCCAGCCGGGAGGTCCGCCCTCCGGGAGCAGGCTGCCTTCTTTGCAGCCACCCCGTCTCCTGCCTCCTCCTTCCCCGAAGCCTGGGTTTAACTCCGTCCTCGGGAGCCTCAGTCCATGGTTCCTGGGTTTTCTCCCAGGGAGGCCAGGGCTTTGGGGGAACTTCTCCCAGGTGAGGGTGGAGAGTGGTATCGGAGTGGACGTGGACAGAGAGGACCATCTGGCCTTTACGGTGGCGGAGAACTTCCCGGTCCCTTCTTGGAGAGGCTCGTAAAGAAAGGAACCGAGAAGCGCTGCCTGAGGTGCAGCTTGAACCAAGGGGGAAAATGACCCCAGAAGACAACCTAAGAGGATCCAGCTCTCGTTTCTTCCCGCTGAAAACTAGTTGGGTCGCCTTCTTGGTAGTTGAAAAGCCGAATGCTCTCAATGTGAGGGAGGCAGGAGTCATGGTTTGTGGTTTCTTGCCTTCCCAAATGAAGGGAAGAAACTGGTAAGGAGGAAAGATGGCATCTTCCATTCTCCTGAAAAGAGGCAGATCAGAATTGGGAGAATTACAAGTGGTAAAAGGCTGGAGAGAATGCCTGCATAGAGGCCTACAAATAGAATCACTGATACCTTCCCACAAACAAAGGGGCACTTTCCTGTCCTCCAGAGCAACCGCTTCCAGCTCCATGCCTCTCCATCCCAGGTCTGCCCTACAGCCTCCTTTAGGATGAACACCTGCAAGTGCATTGATTGGGAAGTGCTGGACCTGGGATACCCCTGCTCATCCCCAAAGCACTCACACACGTGAACGACAGAAGTCTCCTTCATGAGACTTTCTGACCTGCTTACCCAGACAATTTACAGGGGAGAGCAGCCGCTCTGCAGAGTGAGTAGCAAAAATCCCAGCACAGGTCTGACATGGTCCACCGCCTGTACTCTCCACAGACGGGCTACAAGCCCCCATGTAGCAGAAGTCGGCCCAGGGCTTCAAGCTGCCTGGGCACCATCATTTCCACGTGGAAATTCAGCCTCACTGGTGCCTAGAGGAAGCGTGGCCGGCTGGCTCCCAGGCAGCCTCCTCTAGACCAGACCTGTCTATGCAATAGGCTTTCAGGAGGCGGCAGCCAGCCCCGTCTGCCACCCACAGCAGCGAGAGGCTCCAAGCACAGGAAAGCCTCTGATGACAGTTCCAGCTTGTCCCAGCTAGGGTGCTAACCCAAGGCAGGAGTCCACTGGCCTTGCTCTCCCACTGTGTGCTGGCGAGCAGCCTGTGTGTGTCCCAAGGTGAGCAGCCACTTTCTCCACATCATCATCCCCTGGTGTGCTCCTTCCCTCTCTTTAAAATCAATAAATTAAAAAGAAGTACACAGGAAGAGACCTGCCACAGCACAGCCCCTTTGGCAAGAACAAAGGAAATGGTCTTGTGTCCAGCGAGGTCATCCCCTGACCTAAGATTTGACGCAGGCCCTGAGACCAGCCCCTCCTCTTTCAAAAGCTAAGAGCAGCTAGAAAATAACATTTCGTTCAGAACAGTGGTTCTCAAAGTTTAGCAGGCATAGAATTCCATCCCTGGAGTAATACTTTAAAACAACAAAGAATTTAAATTTTTTTAAAAAGCCAAATTGAAAATATAAAGAGCATTTTTAGAAAAAAGATAAATCAAGTTGTATTATAGTAAATTTTATTAGGTTAAAAAATCTATTCTAGTAGATGTGTGGTAGTCTAAGCTCCCATCAGTGCTAAATTAGATACTTCTATTTTAATTTCCGTATGGATAAAGTACCTTACCAAATACTTTTAAGGCTAAATAAAAAATGTAAATGAAGACTTTTAAACTCTTTGGAATACTAACACTAATACTAATTAAAGTAGGTCTGGACCTCATTCCAAAAAAAATTCCATCCCTGAAGATTCAGATTCAATAGCTAGGAACAGGGCCCGAGGAAGCTAGCTACATTTTGTTGTTGTTAATCCTCACGTGAGGATATTTCTCCACTGATTTTTTAGAGTGGAAAGGAGGAGACAGAAACCTCAATGTGAGAGAGACACATCGATGGTTGCTTCCCATGTGCCCAGACCGGGGTACATGCCCTTGACCAGGATTGAACCCGGGACCCTTCAATCCACGGTTGATGCTCTGTCCACTCAGCCTAGCCAACCAGGGTGCTAGCTACGTTTTAAAGAAACAGCATGTGATTCTTTGGCAGGAAGGCCTTACTTTGAAAAATACTGGCCTAATGCAGGTTTTAGCTTCTTTGGGTCACAGCTTTGCACATCCTGTTCCTAAAAAGATGCACGTAACCATTTCTAAAAAGCTTAGGGGTCTTTGGAACTCAAATCAATACCCTTATTTTAGATGTCTTGGACAAGCGAGGGACATGTGGTCATGGCCGCACCTCTCACAATGGCCACATGGATGGGCTCATTTCTGGTACAGACAAGCACTTCTCCAGTGAAGCCCTAGAAACTCTTTTGGCTTAAATTGTTAGGTTCTGAGCCTCAGAGGCCTGCAGTAGCAGAAAGAGAGCCCTACCCTTGGTGGAAGTACCGGTGCCAAGAAACGAGGAGCTAAGAATGGAATGAGGTTTCAGCTTAAGTATTTCATGACACGATTACGGTGGTAAGTTCGGTCCTGAGGCAGGAAGCAGAAGAGCTGGGTCTGGAGTTCGGGCCCTAAGCAAGCCTTGCAAACTTCAAAGCACTCAGAGAAAGTAGTAATTATGGCACTTTAATCGGCTGAGCCTAGGGTCCAAGCTGGGCTTTGAGTCTGAGCTGAGTGAGAATGGTGTTTCAGGCTGGGTTTCCCCCAGGCAGCCTGAGAGTTAGGTGTACACTGCCTTCTTTAGGGAATTAAAAGCTGGTACAAAGGAAGCTCCTACCACTAAGGTGCCTTCTCACACCATTCCCACTTATGACAAGGGGGCACACTAGCCAGTCCTCCATGAAAAGTTCAGGTGGGCTCAGACTTGGAATCAAGTCAGTTCATGACTTCACCTGAACAATGTCTTTTCCCCAAATCTTCTCTTTAGAAGTTTCTCCAGATTGACAAATCTTCCCCCTAAGGTAGGCAGATACGGGGCTGAGTAAAGAAGGCAAGTACACACGGGCCAGCAGAGGACGTAACCCCTATTCTTCCTCAAGTGAAGGGCGTCCTGACCAGAGGCAGGGCAGGGCCTGCCCATGGCTGGCTGCTTCCATCGCCTGGACAAGGCTGGGCTCGGACCACAAAGGAATTATAGATGGCTAATGGAGTCACAAGGCGAGAGGGCAGAGATTGTGTGCAGAGCTTGGGAATATGGATGAGTACAATCCCCGCTGGCTACTTCTCCCAATGTTCCTGGCCTAGCTGATGGTGGGTACATAGTGAAGGTCAAGCTTTGCTTCTGTTTGCCCTCAACTCTCATCTCAGGTTGGTTTCTCCCTTGCCTTGGTCCGCTACATGGCCATTTTCCCACTCATCTCATACCTGGGCTCCACTGACACAGGGCTGGGCTGTCTCCTGTCCTGGTCAGTGCCTGGGTGCCCTCAGAGTGAGTGGGCAGATCCCCCAGAACCCTGGCTGAGACACTGAGAAATTCAGGAGCGGTGTGACCAAGGCAACAGTAAACCAGGACCCTGCCATCTGTGTGTGACCTGGGTCAGGTTACTTAGCCTCCCCCAATCTCGGTGTCCCCAGCTGCAAACACTCAAATCTCTTCCATTTCTAACACGTGATGAG